TCTCCCCCAAGTTGCTTTTTGTCAGAATATTTTATCACAGCAGTTGGAAACAAAACTAGAGCATTTTCCAAAACTTACTTTTGCTCTTTTTTTCATAATTGTCACCCTCATTTGTGTGAAATTATCTCATTGTGGTTTTCAGTTGCATTTTGCTGATGGTAAGTGATGTGGCACATCATTTCCTGTGCTTATTGCTATTTATGTGTCTTCTGTAAAATGTTTATTCAGATCATTTGAGGGATTTTGATAACTAATCCTTTTTATTATTGATTTAAATACTTGGTATATTCTAGATACAAGTCCCTTGTTAGGTATGACTAGCATGTATTTTCTATGCTGTATTTTACTTTCTTGATGATTCTTTTTAATGTACAGAATTTTAATTTTGGTAAAATCTAGTTTATTCTTTCCTTGATCATTTATGTTTTTGTTGTCCTAATAATATTTTTGCCTAGTACAAGTTAAAGATACACTTTATTTTCTTTGAAGAGTTTAGAGATTTTTATGTGTGTATTATTCTTGGATTTTTAATATTTATTTCTTTCTGTGTGTATGTGTGTGCTTACACTTGCACATGCCTATGTCATGACATAGGATGTCATATGGATGTCAGAGGACAACTTGTAGAAGTCAAAGTTTTGATTCTCTCCTTCCCCCCTGTGGATTCCAGGGATCAAACTCATGTTGTCAAGCCTGGCAGGAAGCATCTTTACCCACCAAGCCATCTTGCCAGCTTTAAAGTTTAGTTTTATTTCTACTTCCCTCTAGTTCTTGTATTTTTAGCTCTGTATGTGTGTCTTTAATCTTCTTTGAGTTAATTTTTGTGTACTGGGTGAAGTAGAAGCCTAGCTTCATTCTTTTGCATGAAGAAACCCAATTGTTCCAGCAACAGTTGTTGAAAGGCATTCCTTCCCTCTCCTGTTACCCTGGCACCCTCATTACAAATCAGTTTGTCAAAGTGTGAGGTTTCTTTTACAACTCAGTTCTATCCTCTTAGCCTGGGTCTGCTCTTAGGTCAGTGTCTGAGTTGCTGTATAGACTTGAGGTATTTTGAAATCAAGGAATCTAAATCTCCAGTTTTGTCTCATTTTCAGCATTGCTCTGGACAGCTTGGTGCCTAGACTTGCAGTGCAGTTGTGCTTTGACAAAACTGTAGATTTGGTTCCAGTATGTATTTCACAAGTTTTTGTTTTCCAGTGCATAAGAAAGTTCTATTTATACTATACTATAGTCTGTTAATGCTGTTGTTTCTTGAAAAACAACATTCTTTAACTTAAAATACTGTTTGTGGGGCTGGAGTGATGGCTTAGCAGTTAAGAACACTGGTTGTTCTTGCAGAAGACCCAGGTTCGAATCCCAGCACCCACATGGCAGCTAACAGTTGTCCGTAACTCCAGTCCCAGGGGATCTGACAGCCTCTTCTGACCTCCGCGGGCATTGCAGACATGCATGTACTTACCTACATGCAGGCAATACACGCATACACATAAAATAATAAAATTTTTTTTTAAATAGTTTGGCTAAAAAAAAAGTTAATGATATGGGAACCTTGGAACCTTGAGCAAGCCTTAATCTTTTTGCTGGTTGGTGGATGGATCATGCCTTGACATTGATGTCTCTGATCAATAAAGTGGTGGTTGCTGAATGTTGCTTGTCAAGCTCCTGAGTAATACAGCAAGCAGTTTGCCGTGTGGGCTGCTCTTGCTTTCAGAAGAGTCCTCTGAGGCATGTGGTGCTGCTTAGTAGCATTTTACCCACAGTAGAACTTTCAGAATTAGACTCAGACCTCCCAAACCCTGCCTACTTTGTCAGTCAGGTTTATACAGTACTGTAGGCCCTCTGTTGTCGTTTCTGTCATATTCCGAGCATCTTTACCAGGAAGAGAGGAAGTGAGCCCATCTCAAGAAACCAGTTTCTCTGGTCATAAACAGGAAGCAACTCTCCATTCACTCAAGTTTTTATCATGAGATTGCAGTAATTTTGTGACATGTGCAGACTTCGCCTCTTGTTCTTGTTCTCTTGGGATTTCCACATCTGCAGTAACTTCCTTCAGTAAAAGCCCTTCATATTGTCCGTTAAAAGTGGGAATCAGCTTCTTCCAAACTCCCATTAATGTTTATATTTTGACCTTCTCTTATCAATCGTGTTCTTTATTTATTATTTTTGATTTTGTTCTTTGTTTTTATGTTTTCTTTTTTGAGACAGGTTCTTGCTATGTAATCTAAACTGATGTTGAACAGGCTTATGTTGGAAGAGAGTCCTTCATAGCTAGCGAGGAGAGGTCAGTCCTTGGCTTGAACGATTTCAAGGGGTCATTGTCTCTCTTAGGGACCGGTGCAGCTAGTGACAAACTTAAGCCAGCAATCACTTACTGTTGTGGGGCCCCTTCATCCTCCTCTTCAGCCTCTTATGGCATTACCTTAAAAAAATGTTAGCTTTTCTCCGGGCGTGGTGGCACACACCTTTAATCCCAGCACTCGGGAGGCAGAGGCAGGAGGATTTCTGTGAGTTCAAAGCCAGGTCTACATAGTGAGTTCCAGGACAGCTGGAGCTACAGGGGGACCCTGTCTCAAAAAGACCAAAAAAAAAAAAAAAAACTTTTTTTCCAGGTTTTTAATTTGTTTTGCCCAGATCCAGGCCAGCATCGTCATCTGGCAACTGTAGCTTTAGAAAGTACACTTTTAAAATATTAAAACCTGGAAGTTGACTTGTCTCCTTGGTACATGGGGTTTAGAGTGGATGCTGTGTTAGCACGCATGAAAACATGTAAATCTCATAGTCTCCACCAGTTCTCTGGGTGACCAGGTGCATTCTTCATGAGCAACAGGTCTTAAAAATATTCCATAGCCCCTGTTGTAAACAGACGTGTCACCATCCTGGCTCTGTTGTTCCGTTTGTGGAGCAGAGCCAGAGTACATTCATTGTAACTCTTACAGAGCCCCAGGATTTTCCAATGGTAAGTGAGCACTGACTTTACCTACAGTAAAGCACCTTGCCACAAACTACAAGGTAACAAGGGAGGCAGCCACTTCTCAGAAACTTTGAAGCCAGGAACTAACATCCTTCCAGCTCTAAAAAGCCTAGATAGCATCTTCTTCCAATATACCGCTGCTTCATCTGCACTGGGAATCTGTAGTGTAGAGTGGCCACCATCATCACTTACCTTAGCCAGACCTTCTCACTGCTGCAGTTCCTTACGACCTTGTGCCTCTGTTAGGAAGATGGCTTACCTTAAACTTCATGGACTCACCTCAGCCAGTGTCAAAGTGCCTTGTGCAGCTTTCCTCACCTCACTTAGTTGTCATAGACTTAAACAGGTTAGAGCCTTGTTCTGGATTAGGCTTTGGTTTAAGGAACTGTTACGGAGGGTTTGACTTTTACCCCCCAGTCTACTCTCTCTGTGGGGCTGCTCGTTCCCTTTCATTCCTGTGTTAACTAGAGTAGTGCTTTTCATTTCCTTTACGTCTCCTTTGCCTTCACCATTTGTCTGTTTTGTACTAGAAGCTTTCTAGCTCTGAGCTCTCAGCATACCCTCCTCACAGTGCTTAATCATCTCTGGCTTTTGATTTAAAGTGAGTGACTTCTAACTTGAACACTGCAAGGTCAAGTCTGAGGAGGAGGAGAGGGAGATGGAGATGCCTGGTCAGTGGAGCTGTCAGAACCCATACCACATTTATCAGTTAAGTTTGCTGTTTTACATGGGCACAGTTACCGGCACCTTAAACATCACCAATCACAGAATATTGCAACAGATATACTAATAATGAAAATGTCTGAAGCCTTAAAGTCAGCCAGAATTTTAGTAGGCATCGCATTGAGTCTGTAGGTTTGTTGGAGTGCCGTCACCTTTTCCATATTGAGTATTCTGGTCTGTGAACATGGGGTAGCTTTCCATATAATAGCTAGGTCTTCAGTCTTTTCAGTGATGTTTTGTACCTATGTTCAGAATTGAGTTTACATCTTTTTAAAAAGTGTTTCATTCTATTTTGGATTATTTGTTATTAATATATGCAGTTAATTTTTGTTAATAGATTGTGGTTTTGTGTGTATGAGTATAATGCCTACATGTATGTAAGTGCACCAGTGTCGTACAATGCCTGTGTAGGTCAGAGAGGGCAGATCCCCTGAAACTGGAGTTACAGATGGTTGTTAGCCACTATGTTGGTGCTGGGAATCCAACCTGGGTCCTCTGCAAGAACAGCCAGTACTCTTAACCACTGAGCCATCTCTCCAGCACCCAGATTGTGTTTTTAATGGCACTTAAAAAGCTTTAAGAAGGTAGACAAACATCAAGTACTGTTTTTGTAGTTATAAATTGTTATCTAGAAATGCTGTATACTTAAAGTGATATAAATATCAGAGTTTGAACTTAGGGAACTGGGGAGACAGCTAAGTGCTTGCCATTCGAGCATAACTACCTGAGTTCATTCACCAGAGCCCAAATGAAACCCAAATGAAAAATACAGGTATGGTGGTGTGTGTTACAACCCCAGCTCTGAGGAGGCAGAGACATGCTATCCCTGGAGTTCACTGGCCAGCCTAGCCTTACCCCAGTGAGAAACCACGGCTCAGAAAACAAGGTGATGGCGTCTGAGACGTGACCCCTGAGGTTGCTCTCTAGCCTAAACACCCATGTACACATGTGTGCACCTTGCACGCACACAAAATGCACTCATGTATCAGCTATACTCTTATTACATCAAATCTTTTTTAAAATTTTTATTTATTTTTTTTATTTTATGTGTTTACGTGTATTGCCTGCATGTAGGTAAGTGCATCCATGTCGTGCAGTGCCCGTGGAAGTCAGGAGGCTGTCAGACCCCTGGGACTGGAGTTACGGACAGTTGTTAGCTGCCATGTGGGTGCTGGGATTTGAACCTGGGTCTTCTGCAAGAACAACCAGTGTTCTTAACTGCTAAGCCATCTCTCTAGCCCGACATCAAATAAAACTTAATTAGACAAAAAAAAAATCAATATTTAATTTTCCCTTCTTCTTTTAGTGTTAAATGTTTACAAAAGACAGTGAAGGACTCTTACCATATAATGTGTAGGTCATGTGCCTGTCAACTTGAAGTTTGTGCAAAATGTGGAAAGAAGGAAGACGTTGTTATTCCGTGAGTATTTCCTTTTACATTTGCAGTTTGCTTTTAGTAACCGATACATGAGCTTTCTCTTAATCAGACATCAGTAACTCTTAGTTTAAAATTGTTTATCTCCCAGTAATGTAGGTACTTTTCTACCTAACAGGAAAAAAAAATTACAATTCTATCAAATTTTTCTATTACAGTATAAAATACCATTTATATTTTTAAGACCATCAACTGTTTAACCTCAAGCTTCATAAAATTCATTATAAAGAATTTCTCATGCCATATCAGTTCTCCCTAATGGGCCCCTTTTACTAACTCATTTGAGCTCATTCTGGTGACAACAGTGTTAGAACTAATTGAATCTCCAGTTAAACTCCTCTTTAAAAGAGCTTTTCTCTGTCCTTGTTTTCTTTAGGATTCTGATAAGAAGCAAATGTCTTTTTAACCTGCACCTTTAAATAATGAAACCAGGGAAATAATTGGAAACTTTCTTCCATTAGGTTTAATAAAGAACCAGAAAAAGTAGAAAATGGTGAAAACAATCAGAATTCCAACCCTAGAAGAAGCTGCAAAATAAAGGAAGACAGTACTGATGACTCAGAGCTTGGTACTGACCTAGATGACGGAGATGACAGTGCCCACGTGGACTGACAGCAATGGAGGAATGCAGAAAAGTTGTGAAAAACAGGCAGAATTGATCTTGAACAATTTAAATTTTAACATTTTAATACTGAAACCTTCAGATTTTCATGACAAAGTTCTGAGTTGCATATACTGGAGTTGCTGCTGAGACACATCTTGTGGTTTATTGTATAACCCATGGGGACTGCTTAGAAAAACAAGTTACCCAATGTCGAACTAAGCAACGTTGAGAATTGGTGATTGTATCAGAAATATCTCATGCACAACTAAGATGCCATTATTTCACAGGGAACCCCTCAATTGACTCAATAGACTGACCTCCAGTATGTGGCCCACCTAGCAAAAGCCCGCTTTCAAAGCAAAACCCCTTTTAAATCGTGCTTAGCAAGTATATAGCAATTTTTCCTCACAAATATTTTTATATCCTTTATCCTACTGTTTTTACCTTTTTCCACTTGAGAAATAGATACTCAGAAAGAAATGTATTGGATTTTCTTAGATAGTTCGTAACTATGAAGGAAAATGGGCCATTCTCGCTGCAGAAGACTGCCACCATCCAAAGGTTCCGGAGGCTCTTCCTCCACAGGAGCTTACCCTTCCCAGAGTTCCACGGTCCTGAATTTGTCATTTTACTGCCCATGTTTCTAACAATATAAACAATATAAACTAGCATTGCGTGATCATTGAAGCCTGTATCTTTTTTATAAATATTTTATTATTTTTATTTTATGTGTATGAGTGTATTATCTGCATGTATGTGAGTGCACCCATGTCGTGCAGTGCTGTGGAGGTCAGAAGAGGGTTTCGATTGCCCCTGGAACTGGAGTTAAGGATGGTTCGTAGCCGCCATGTGGGTGCTGGGAATCGAACGTGGGTATTTCGAAAAATCTCAAAGCTACAGAAAGATAACCGAGTAGTAAGATGAACTTTTCTACAAACTCTTCACCTAGATTCCCAGTGTGTTTCACTTGTATTATTTATGTGTCTGTAAGTGGGATATGTATGTGTTTCTGAGAGTGTATGTGTGTATACACAAGCATCTCCATGTGTTTATATGGCATGTATGTTTATGTATGTGTGCATTTGCTGAACCATTTTAAAATAAGTGTGAAGCATTGGCTTTAGACTTTAAATAAATTTATCCTTTTTGTCTTGTGTTCCTTTTTCCATTGTAATAAAATTTTGGAAATTGATCTGTGTTTTTACAGAAGTTATGATTTATTTGCCATCATTGTGCACTGTGCTGAGTGACATTTGAGTCACTACTACTTTTCCTGTGGCACACAATGCCAGTGTAAGATGAAGCAAAGTTAGGAATCTTATTAAAGATATTTTAATTTAGATTTAAACATGCAGGTTAAGAAAGAAGAGCTCAGACAATTAAGAAGGAAGAAGATTTGGACTCAGCTGAACAACAAAGGACCATAATCTGAAAGCTAAATGTTACTGCGCCAAACACTATGGGTCTTTACTGGAGGCCTTTGTTAAGTAACTGGAAAAGTTTCTTGAAGCCATATTCAAATAGTTATTAGAAAATAAATGGGAGGAGAAAAGTGATGGACAGGTATTTATATAATGTCTACAATATTTTCCTCACAGCCTTGGAAACTTTCCCAGTTTGTTAACATCCTGTTGTACGCATAGATCTGAAGCACTTGTTCTTGCCAAAATGAGTTTTGTTTAGTTTATGTTGGATTTTTAATGTTACCTCTTGATCCTTAATGCTCAGGGTTTTGTGGCTGTTGACCACACATAATCTTACCTTTACGGGGAACAAGAAGATGACTGCTCAGGATTTACACAGGTGGCTGTGAACCTCTACTGATTATCCTTGAGTAGTCCAAGCTGAAGTCCTGTGGATTTAATGCTGATCGTTGATCATAGGTGGTGCATTTTTGTCTCTGGCTTCTAACTCGGTCATTGTAAACACAGACTTGAAACAGTACTTTCAGGTTCCAGATACCTAAAGATGGGCTGACCTGGAGGTAGCTGTTTCTAGATAGCTGAACTTTTGAAAGTGATGATCAGCCACTTAGCTGTTTTGTACGTACTTGTTTTCTTGTGCATTTTTCTGTAGGCAACAAATAAAGCTATAAATTTACTCATTTCAATAAACTGGAATGATGGGGGTCGGGGGGAAGAGCTCAGAAAAGTAAGCCCTACCTAAAGGTGAGTGTGGGTTTCTCCAGAGTTGAAGAGGGCGGTATGTGGTTGAGTGTGGGCCTGGCCATTGGCCATGGGTCATTTTGGAGGCCTTCAGTTTTCATTTCAAGGTTGCTAAGAAGCCCTCTCTTCTCCTCACTCTTTTTTGGTAAGAGAGAGATATGAGGTGGCTCCAGAGATGGCCTCTACAGAATTATAACCTAATAAGGTAAAAGCAGAAGCCATTAGAGTTGCCTAAGGGGTTTAGTACAGGTCCTTTATAAACAGGGTTTTTGATGAGATTCCTAGAAAATTGCAGGTTTATGGCTGGGAAGGGAGAATCAGAATTGCCTCAAGCAGTTTTTAATTCTGCAGGAATCCTTGCTCTACCACTGGCCATGGCTTCAGCTGGATTCCAGGGTCAGGGGTTTCTCCCTCCTCATGTCCCTCTGGTTTTTCCTATCTTTTTATCCTGCCACAGTAGCCAATGTGTATGTGTGTAATGAGTGGTATCTTTGTTAATTTATCTATATTCCCTAATTATTAGTTCACCTTATTCCCCTTTTGTTTATTGATTGGGGATTTTGGTAGTAAATGATACTACAGAATGGTTTTTGATAAGTATAATAGTGTTTTAGAAATATTTCAGTGTGTAACGCCAACTTACTTTCAAAAAATATTTTAGAGGGGCTGAAAGACTTTAGTGGTTAAGAGCACTGGCTGCTCTTGCAGAGGACCTGGGTTTGTGGGTTTGGATCCTAGCACCCACATGGCAGCTAACAACTGTCTCTCACTCCAGTTCCAAGAGCCCCAACACCCTCTTCTTGACCTCCTCAGACACTGCATGACAGTTGCACTTACATGCAGGCAATACACTCATACACATAAAAAATATTTTTAAAAATAAGATCAATAAATAAAATATTAAATATATATTAGAGTAAAATATGTAGAGACACAGCATTTCAATGACAAAAAATATGTTACATAGGAGTGTTACTATCAACAAAAATTCAAATTCTTACTAAGATGTTAAAATGGAGAAAGTTTCCAGTAAACTTATATGCATCATTTCTGTATAAACTTACATGTTCACACATTTATTTTCTTCACTTTTTATATGAAGGTGTATTTAGCTTTTGTGATTAAAGACAACCCATTAGATCCAGTATAATTTTTTTTTTTTTTTCCCTGAGTGCCTTCTTTGGGGAAGAGCGTCTCCTAGTGCCACACACCTATAGCTGCATCTCATGCTCAGTGTTAAGGACAGCTGCTGCTTTGTTGTATAAGTGGACTTTGCTATATTTGCTTGCTTTATGTTTCTCTAGGAATTATCCTTTCTAACCTACAAACTTTTTGTTAGAATTCAGCTTGTGGGAATGAAAGGAAGCCTTGCTTTCTTTGAATGTAATGAATGAATCAGTCTGGAACCTGGTGACAGTTGCCTGGCCTTGGACTGCATCAGATATTCAGAAATATTTCAGGTAGTTGGTGGGGGGTAAGGAATTATAGAAGTTCCAAATTCTCATCACAAAACTCATAGAACCTTTTAAGGAATTCCTATTCCTGGGACTTTGTGATTCATTTCCTCTGGGTTGTAGCCTGGGCCACTTTTCTTCCCAAGTCCCCAGGTTATTCTGATCAGTAAATACAGTTAGTTGCATGTGGCAGAAAGCCATTTTCATGCCCACTGACTTCCTTTCAGTGGCCACATACAGTGCCTGTTTGCCGCATTCCCTCCTCCACAAACTTGCAGCTAGAGATAGAACGTGAGGGGATTCTGCTGAGGGATTCTGGGGAAAAAATTACCAACAGAAAGAAGTGTTTTCTGCCAGCCTCTTCCTGCCTAAATGTGGCATGAGAAGACATGAAGTCTGGAACTTGCCGCCGTGGTGAGGAAATGGCACGAACCGCAGAGACAGTCCCCAGTACCATGATGCTGGGGCGGCTGACCTTTCAAACCCTGTGCCCACTGCAACTCCAATTTCTATAAGATAACCGAATGTCTTTTTTCACAAGCTGCTGCCAATCAGAAATGCATCCCAGCTGGTATCCCAACAAGTTTGATAATACCTGTTCTGTAAAACGTAGGAGCTACAGAAACAAGAAATAAATTAGTATATTAAAAATTAGGGGCCAGGCGTGGTGGCACACACCTTTAATCCCAGCACTCGGGAGGCAGACCAGCCTGGTCTACATAGTGAGTTCCAGGCCAGCTGGGGTGACAGGGAGACCCTGTCTCAAAAAGACCAATAAAAAATAAAAACAAAAAAATGATAATTGGTTATGAAAGCTTACCAACTTGGTTGCTTGCCTTCATTCTGCAAAAGATTCACATAAGTTACTCTTAATCATAGTAGCGGCAATGTACTCAGAATCTAAGCATTTACACTAACATTTATCTTCCTGTTAGCTTCATGAAATCAAAGCATTGATTAATTGCACCATATTATATAGCTAATAAATGACAACCTGGATTTAGGATCAGGCTGTTTGGTTCTTGAGTCTGCATTTTAATTTGCCGACTCAATCACCTGCCAAAGACATTTCTGCAGGTAAAAAGAGAAAGTGTATTGGAAAGTGTGCTTGGCATAACAGGTTATTTGATAACAAAAAGGGTATGAATAATAATAGCAAATAATAAGTGAGATATGTTCATTCCAATAATCACCAAGGTGCTTATCTGTGCAAAGCCTGGCTCTTTGTCGTTGGGACTTTTTATTTTATTATTTATTATTTGATTTTTTTGAAACAAGGTCTCCCTGTAGCCCTAGCTGGCTTGAAATTCGGTGTGCACATTAAGCTGGCCTCTATCTCACAGAGATTTGCCTGCATCCGCTTCCCCAGTGCTGGGATTAAAGGGTGAGAAGTGAGATGTGATTTTTTAAAAGTATTTCAGTGAAAAGCTCTGTTGTGAAAACACTGGAAAGAGGGTAAGAGACATGGGAAGAAGGTCCAGGCAGAGGAAAGAGGCAAAAGCCTCTAGAGAAGACTAGCAAATGTGTTCAAGAAGCAGCAAGGAAGGGCTGGTTACTTTAGAGCCCTTCAGAGATGAGACCAGTGATGTAATGGAGAACTGGAACCTGCTTTTAAGATTGCTTTCATGGATCGGGGCGGGCACAGAGATGGTTTAGAGGTTAAGAGCACCAGCTGCTCTTGCAGAGGACCTGGGCTTGATTCCCAGCACCCATATGGCAGCTAATGACTATCCTTAACTCCAGTTCCTGGGGATCTGAAGCCTTCTTTTGACCTCCATGAGCATTGCATGACACGGGGACGCTTACATACAAGCAGGAAATACACTCATACACATAAAACAAGAATAATAAATTGTTTTCTTGGTGCTGGAGAGATGGATGGCTCAGCTGTTGAAAGCACTGGCTACTGTTGCTGAGGTCAGAGGTTTGGTTCCCAGCACCCACATGGCAGCTAACAACTGTCTGTAACTCCTTCCTGGGGATCCAAAGACCTCTTCTCTGTGGACATTGCACCATGTGGTACACTTTCATACATGCAGATGAAACACTCATACACATAAAAGTAATTACTTTTAAAAAAAAGTTTAGAACACTTGTTTTTTGCTTAGCATGGTGGTGCACCCCTTTGGTCAACAATTGAGAGATGGAGGCAGGGTGGTCTGCAGTTCATGGCCGGCCTCTTGCTACATCTCTGAGACTGAGGCCAGCCTAGTCCCAGGCCAGCTGGGGCTACAGAAAGACCCTGTCTCAAAAAAGAAAATTTAAAAAATGATCTATCAATTTTTACTTATGTGTATATGTCTGTGGCTGCATGAGTTTATATATACCACACGCATACCAAAGAGTGTTGGAACCCCTGGAATAATTGGAGTCACAGGTGGTTGTGAGCCCACCGTGTGAGTTCTAGTGTCTGAACTCAGGTCCTCTCCTAGAACAGTTGGCCCTCTTAACTGCTGAACCAATGCTCCAGCCCTCACTTTGCTTTATTTATTACTTTATCTCCTGGTTTTTGGTGACTTTTTTTTTTAGACAGGGTC